TACTGTACATATATGAAGGGAGGTATTGGCAAAATCTCACCTGTAGTAAATCACTATGAGAAATACGAGCTTTACAATTTGACAGTATGTTATTTTAAATGTTAAAAGTCATTTTAATTAAAATACATTGGACGTTTTAACCCAGTCGGTGGAATTGTCAGACGGTCCCTTGGGTGCGATAACACGTCAATGCTTTCTCCGGTTTAAATTTGCAGCAATAATACACCTAGGCGGGTTTGCACTCCTATTTTTATGTCAACATAACGTGGTTGCATATTGTTAAAACTAATCGTGGTATTGATCAGTGGTAAGGGAAAGCAATTATAAAGAAAATGCAGCGTGGTGCGTTCTTCTGACCTCATTTGCTTGCCTGTATTTAGTCCGCATCATCACAAATAAAGCATTTTCTGAGATCTGAGGTTAGGGTTAGGGTTAGGGTTAGGGTTAGGGTTAGGTTCACTGAGGCACGTTATGCGTTGTTGGGGAATCCTGGCGTGTGATGTATGAGGGGTAACCCCAGTATTACAGCACAGCTTCACACAAGCCATGACACAAGTAAAGGAAACTAAGCAACCGAAAGCAATTATATGTCTTCCTCAGATGTAATGTTAGTTCTGTACATCAGCGATGGATAAAATAGCATTATAATCTCCTTTGTGGTAGAGAAAGCTGCTTACATGCAGGCTAAGGGAAACAGCGAAGATGTTGAATTAAACATACACACAATCAGCTTTTCTACATGTTTATACTGGCCCCAATAATCAAAACTTCTACTCACCGCTTGCTCCATTTCTGCAGATCAGTTTTTGTGAATGAATGACTCAATCCACCTGTTGCTGTGGTCTTCATCAACAGCCGCTTGCGCCACCTGCTGGTGAGCGACTGACAGCAGCTGGAGATCATGCATCGGTGCTCTATTGCTATTCCTGCAGATCCCGGATGTGCAATGCTGAATTTTAACCACTGATTTTGTGGAAGCGAATTTGGAAGGTGAAATAAAATGGACCGAAATTTGCCTGTCGAATATTATACATCGTATTTTTAAACAGATTAAATATTTCGGAAGTGAATTCTGGAAGGTGAATATGAATTATTGAATTTTTAATGATGAAAATGTGTGTGAAATATTTTGAATTGAAATATTCACATCTTAAATAAACAACTATGTTTTAATTTCAGGACCTAAAAATGCAAGCCCTGGAAATACAAGGCATTATTAAAATGCAAGCACTGTTAATGCAAGGCATAATTTTTTCAGTTAGTGCTATTCAATGCTATTCAAGACATATGGCATTATTTTTCATATAAATGTAAATGTAAGAATTGACAAGAAATTATACTTTTAAATAGGAATTTAAAACCACAAATAGGTGGCGGTCACTGTTGTAATGAGAGTCATTAATTAATTTATTCTCATTTATCTCATTAACTCCTTAATCATTCAGGAACAAAGGAAGTGATCTGCATCTGAATTACGTCCCTAGTATTCAGGCGAAAACTAGTATGTGAACAGAATATTTTATGAACACTTTTCTATCCCATGAGGCACAGGAGAGGAGTTGTAAATGGCAGTTAAGCAATGCAACTGACACCAACATTCATTCATGCTGCCCATATTCATAATTCTTCCTCAAATGTTTACTCCGTATGTGATTTCCGACATGAAATGGGCATTGAATCATTCATTCATCTGATTGATTCAAAAGCAGTGTTTCATTGAGGAATGAATATGTTGTTATTCAGAGACGCTCAGCGGTTTTGCTGCGGCTTTGTTTGGAACTATTTTCTTTTCATTTGCCATCCTTGCTTGTATGATAGACTAATTCCGACATATATTTAATGAGTTCCTGTTTTTCCTTTAATTTTTGCCCCAGTGCAGTGTGACAGGTTACAGTATACACAAAAAAAAAAAAGAAAAAAGCTTTTGGTCTAATTTAGGATTATGACACACATTTACGCACTGTTGAATAGATTTATCTGAACTCTTAACCTAGGTTAAACAAGTAAACTTTATATTTATATTCATATTCATAATCAAAGGGGCAGGTGAGAGCAGAAGATTTCAAAAGTCCATAAATAAGGGCCACCCTGCTGTACTGAGCTCATGACCGCCCCCTCCGCCGGACCCCGCGCTGCCCCTTTATCTGCAATCATACTGAGAGCGTCCAGCACAGGGCACAGGACTGCGGGGAGCACAGGAGCCATGGCCGGGTTCTCAGCGCTTCATTTACTCTTTCTGTTCCAGCTGTTAACATCGTCTCTCGCTCAGGTAAGAGAAAAGAGAACAACGCTTTGTGGACTGATTGTAATGTGTATATTGCAAAAGACTACCTGACGCTGAAAATGACTTTTGTTGGTGTCACTTCAAGTGGACGTCAGATATCTTTTTTTTTTTTTTTTTACATGAATAAATATGTTAATATTGATGTTACAATATGAAAAGGAAAAAAATCCGCTTACCTTACAGAACATTTTTTCTCAGTGTAATGTGATCGTCGCACAATGGCATGTTTGTGAGATCTTTGCGCACTCGTTTCACTTCAGTTGTGTTCTTGATGTTGGTCTTTTTCTGTCTGATTGTTTAAAAAGTCCATGCAAATCACACTGTGACTAGTTAATTTTGATTTATGAACACATTTAATTCTAGCTTCACTCAGAAACCTTTGAGACATTTTGAGCTGAGAACAGACCTGAGGGATTTCTGTTATTTACATTGATTTCTTTATTTGATTATTCTCGTTCTTGATTTTGTGTGGTTTGTGTCTATAGCAAAGGCCGGGTCCTCGGGGTGCAGCTGGAGCGCCGGGACCCCCGGGGAAAGATGGCATTGACGTGAGTTCCAGCTTCATGTGTTCATCTATTAGCCTATATATACACATATGTTTTTATATTCCGTTTCCTTTATCTGTGTGTGTTTGTTACACATTTAGATTAAAATTCACAAATATAACTGAACAGATTTTCATTCTGTGAACTAAAAAAAATCTCATCAATAATCTAAAACGTTCATGTAAATGACCTTCGTTATATTGCAAGTGTGAACTGTAATGTTTTAGGCATGCTGTAAATGGTAAAGGAAAAACTCTCAGGAATGTACGCGTGTAAACGATGAAAGCAGTGAATGTTTCCTCAGTAAACGAAAATCTGCTTAGTGCGAGCCGCAGAGGTGCAGTGACAGAGAGCCCATTCATTCAGCCTCAAATCAAACACAAGCATCTAACGCTCCCCAGCCCCCTCCAGCCCCGCTCTCAGCCTCGACACACTCTCTCTCACAGTAGCTCTGCGTGCAGATGGAGAACAGCACAACCCTTTGTAACACAAAGTTTGTTTGATGAATGCATGATGCCTGTGGACTGCTGTCTAATCACGTATATGTCTAACATTGAGAAAGTCAGTGATTGTTATCTGTGCAGGGTAAACCTGGCCCTGCCGGACTTCCTGGAAAGCCTGTGAGTATCTCTGGATGTGCTGCCTGTAAAATACTCCCATGTCAAATACTTTAAAGCACTGATTTTGCAAGTTTACTTTGCTTGTGTATTTAACGTGCATCACAATGCTAAAGATGCTCATCCATATCTCTGATGATTGTTCAGACGATGCTTCTCTATCTAGATTTTAAATAAATAATGAGCTAGAGCAGGACATAGACCATGAGTCGAGTGTCATGTTTTAACCCCGTCCAGCTGCTTACGTTATTCCCTTCCCTAAAGCTTTTTTTCAAGTTGGTTTGTTAGATGCAATAAATAACATGTAAACACAGAATCGATACACTAATCATATCGTCAAATTCTCTTCTGATTGCAGGGGCTGAAAGGTAAAGCAGGTAAATCTGGGGCCGCAGGAAGCCTGGGACTGCCTGGCCTCCCCGGTGTGGATGTAAGTCACAAAGGAACAGCAGCATTTTCAGTGCCACACACACACACACACACACACACTCACACACACACACACACACACTCACACACACGCACACACACACACTCAGACACACACACTCACACACACTCTCTCACACACACACACACTCACACACACGCACACACACACACTCAGACACACACACTCACACACACTCTCTCACACACACACACACTCACACACACGCACACACACTCAGACACACGCACACACACACTCACACACACTCATACACACACACACGCACTCACTCACACATACGCACGCACACACAAACACACACACACATACTCAGACACACGCACACACACACACGCACACACACACAAACACACACACACACTCAGACACACACACACACACTCAGACACACGTGCACACACACACTCACACACACTCAGACACACACACTCACACACACACACTTTTTTCTTTTATTTATAGAAAGGAAATATAAACACTAAACAGAATTCATGAAAATGCCCTGTTCTGCAGGGTTTGACCGGTCCGGACGGTCCAGCTGGCAAGGATGGACCATCAGGAGCAGCAGTAAGTGACTCTCAGTTTGTTTGAGTTGAGTTGAGTTGAGTTGAGTTGAGTTGTCGAGTCACATAACATCATAACATATTAAGGATGAATATGTACCACACACTTTTCTGTTTCTGTGATTAAAAATGTCTAAGCTCATCTACAGTAGTGAATGTATATCATATTACCTAATAAAACTACTAATAACTCTTGTAGCTTTGATTGTCAAACGTGATGTGGCCTGAGCACAGTGTGCAGCCGCGAGCAGTTTTAATGAGGATCAGCTGACTGTAGATGAATCGGTAGCTTTCTCTAATCCAGCCTGGAATGTGAAGTCGTCCCAGCACAGCTTTTCTGTTCATTAGTTTCCTGGAATCAGCAGAAATCAGTGTAATTCTGTGTGGCTGATGGACTGAGCTCTGGGTGCATTGGGACGTTCATGTGATGTCTTATCAGTGGGTTTAATGCATGAACTGTTTGACAGCAATAGAATGCTACATACTGTAGTTGTCAAATTAACCTGATTTTGCTGCAGTTCATTGAGGGGCGCACTGTTCAGACATTTCAGAAATAAATGCTATTATTTGAATTATCAGTCCGATTTTGGGTAAAAAAAAAAGTTTGTCTCATCAAATAATGAGTTCAGGAGATGTTCAAAGTTGTATTTGTCATGGGGAACAGAAAAAAATGACCACACCATTCATTTAAAGTACCTTTTTATATTGTTCTAATCAAAAATCATGATTTTCAGTTAAGCCTGTTTTGTTCAGTTTGGATAAAACATATTTATTTATTTATGTTAGTAAATAACAGAAAATATGATGCATATTTAATTTTTTTCATAAATATAAAATGAAAATTGAACTTTCATATTACAGCTTATTTAGGTTTTGTTTATGCTGATGTTTGAAAAAAGCCAAATATATTATATTGACCTACACTGGATTACATTTTGGCTTATGTCTAAAGAAAATATATATAATAAGTACATATGAAATATATTTTAAATATGGCACGCTCACTGTAATAATACTCAAACAATGTAATTCTTTCAAATGTGCAATCTACTAGATTACGTTATGTAGGGCGAAAGTGAACCAATCAGGTACTTGAAAATGATTTTTGATGTTGACATAACTGAAACTGTAGCATGCTTTGCATGGGACGTAATGTAAAAAATGAAACTAATTATAGTTTTGTGCTTTTGAGCAAGATGGGAAAAGGGGGAGAGTTTTGTGTTGAGTTATGTTGGGAGTTAGAAGAGTTTCAGTTCCTCTGGGTTAGCACTGCACTGAAGACGGACACATGAAGAGCGCTGCTTTAAGAAGCAGACTTACAGTGCGTCTGAAATAGCGTCATACATTTGAATTTGGTCTTACTTCGCAGCTGTTCAAGAAGTATCTTCTATATAGTATGAATGACATTCGGACGTACTACATCTGTCATGTTGTCATTGTCAAGTTTCATACCCCTTGCAAAATATGCAAAGTTTTAATAATTTTAACAAAATTAGAAGGATCATAAAAATTGCATGTTATTTTTATTTAGTACTGTCCTGAATAAGCGTTTTCACATAACAGATGTTTACATACTCCACATGACAAAATAACTGAATTTAAAAACATTTCCCCATTCAAAAATGTACGTACCCTTGCATCTGAACTGTGTGTGGTTACCTGATGATCCACGACTGTTTTCATGCTTTGTGATGGTTGTTCATGAGTCCTTGTTTGTCCTGAGCAGTCCTGCTGCTCTTCAGAAAACCCCAGCTCCTGCACATTCTCAGGTTTTCCAGCATCTTCTGCATATCTGAACCCTTTCCAGCAGTGACTGTATGATTTTGAGATTCATCTTTTCACACTGAGGGCAGTTGAGGGACTCATACACAACTATTACAGAAGATGAAAACATTTACTGATGCTCCAGAAGGAAACAGTGCATTAGTGGGCGTGTCAACTTTTGAACAGGATGATGTGTAAAGTTTTCTTATTTTGTTTAAAGATTTTTATTTTCGTTTAATGCCCTTTAGAATCTAATACTTACATGTTTCCCTGAAGACAAAATAAGTACAATTGCATTTTTTTAAGATTGACTGTATTTTTTGCCTTCAAGAAATATTGTATTGGAACACTGATGTTGTTAAGTCGTGGCCTAATGGTTAGAGAGTCGGACTTGTAACCCAAAGGTTGTGGGTTCGAGTCTCGTACCGGCAGGGATTGTAGGTGGGGGGAGTGAATGTACAGCACTCTCTCCCACCTTCAGTACCACGACTGAGGTGCCCTTGAGCAAGGCAACATGGGTTAAATGCGTGCACGGGCGCCGCAGCATAAATGAGCACTAATTCCGAGTATGGGTCACATACTTGGCCACATGTCACTTCACTTAAAAGTAATATGCAGAGGAAATCCAAGTCCTACATTTGGTGGACCCTTTGTGTTACTTTGTGTACATACTAGTATTCCAAAGTAATCTGAATACTTTAGAATACTAAGTTACAAAATTTGTGTAATCTAACAAAATACATTACAAATTACTTTTTAAAGTGTGTATTTTGTAATCTGTAGTGAAATACGTTTTAAAAGTAACCTTCCCAACCCTGTATATAGTAAGTATTCGATTTTGGACGCAGCGTTACAATTTAGTATGCTAATTAAGTGCGATTGCTCACTAACAATTAGTTATTTAGCACTATCTTATAATAGTGCTATAACAGGAAATATGTATGAAACTGAGTGAATAAATGAATGAAACCACAGAAAATCACTTTGAGACTCTTCCTTTGGTCACTTCAAAACAACTGAAAAAAGTCAATGATCCAACATTTACATGTATGTGTAAAATCTTTTTACTTTGTCTGTTTTTATCTTTAGAAAAATAATTATTTTGATGAAAATAAAATCAGAATTTAAGGTTTAAACTAAACCATAGAAAAAAGGAATGCATGACAAATTGAAGTATTTGTAGTAAGATTGTTGGTGATCAGCTGTGGTGTTGAATGATGGAGGTCAGAGAGAACACAGTCTTCACAACAGCCCTGATGCACTTACTCTTTCCCAGCTTGCATATTATGCTGAACTCAGAACATTATTGTGTGTGTGTGTTGTAGGGTGACCCAGGACCTCCCGGACCGGACGGACCCCCTGTAGGTGTCAAGCATCAGTAAATCCACAGTAAACACGGTCATATGACATTTCATCCTGTTTCCAACAGCACAGGACCAAAAGATGCTCTCCAGCTCAAACCCACAACATACTTTTCTCTGATTCATACAGACCACTGTCATTACATTCACAAATCATCTGTACAGCAAGAGTGCCGTATCATGATGTAATGTCAGTCAGTGACTTGTCTCAGGTTCTCTTCTCTTGTCTTCCTCAGGGCAGAGGCAGACCAGGAGCGCTGGTGAGTACAACCCGTCCAAAACCAGAATCAGAGGAAAACACTCCTGCTGTCACAGGCATTAGCTATGAGTTCACATGCGGTCACGGGCTGCGTTTATGGTCATTTATTATCCAGTGAGGACACTCGGCAAAAGAAAGTGTGCATTTGCATTTCTGTGTGTTTTCTGATGTCAGGGTCTTGCTGGAGCTAATGGACTTCCAGGCGGAGCAGGACCTCAGGGTCCGCTGGTGAGTGGCTTTTTACAGCAAAAATAGCAAAGACGTTTATGTTGCTGGTCATGTGTTAGTGATCAAACATAGATATACTTTGAGAAACAAACTAATACAGGTTGCTATCTGCACTGCACAAATGAAAAACAGCATTTTGGCCGTGAAGAGCTACAGTAAGCAGTTGTGTCAGACAGGCTGATGTTTGATTGTGAATCCTGTGGACCTCTCTCTTCAGTCCACTGAGAGTAAACACACACATAGATGTGTATTTTAGCAGCAAAGCTCATGGGCGAGTGTCGTGCTGAGTGGCTCTGGTTTGTGTGCTGGTTTAGGGGCCCGAGGGTCTTCCAGGACTCCCTGGTCTTCCAGGCACAGACGGACCTCCTGTAAGTACCTGCACACGAGCACTCAAACTGCAAAAACACATTTATTTCATTCAAATTATTCAATTTCATGTATACTTCTTCCTCTTTTTTAGGGACTCCCAGGAACTCTTCCTGAAGGCAGTGGAGATCTGCTGGTACGTTAAGATGCTTTACCACTTTAGCATGAAAATTATTGTAATGTACTACAATACTACACTGAAAAAAAATTATACTTTGTACAAACTATAAAACAAACAGACACTTAAATTGGTTACAGCCAAATGTATTAGTTTTATTATTATTATTATTATTATTATGGTTTGGTTCAAACATTCATTTTGATTTAATATTAATCAAAATTATTTCTTCTCAAAGACAAAGGACAACATAAAAAGATTATTTATTATAAAGGCCATCACTAAAAAAATAGCTGGATTTACATTATTCAATCATCCACATCAGATAATTGAATTAAGTTATTCTGAATTGAGCAAATGTCTCAAAATGATTTTATATGGTTCACCTATGGTTTATATGGTTCAGTTACATTAATTAAGAGCAAAGAAATCAAGTTTAGAAGAGAAGCACAGTTTTGTTTTGTAGACCACACATGATTGATTGGATAATCTGTCAATCAATATTTTCTTCAGTGTACCAGACTTTATTTTTTTAGACATAACCCAAAGTGTTACTGAATGTAGGTCAATATAATATAAGTAGGTCTATATATATATTGTGCTTTCTCTTCTAAACTTATATATATAGGCTTTTTACAGCTTGATTTAAATTTAACAAAAGCTAAATAAGATATAATAAAGTCGAATCTTCAATTAAGATAAAAAATAGTTAGTCAATGTTTAATTTAGTTTACTTACAACTTTGACAAATCTTAATGTTTACTGTGATGTTGTGTTCTGCTATTTAAACTAAATGATTTCTTTTCATTTATTCGATGGGGAGTGTTATTTGCCTTTAGACAAAACAGCTTTAAATGAAAATCATGATTTTTGATCAGATACTTGAAATAAATGACATGGTCCTTTCACTGTATTTTTCAGTGCATGTATACAGCATAGACATCCATCTTTACATCTATGGTACTTGTAAGGTGTAGAGAGGTCTGTTGTAAGTGTAATTCCATTTTCAACTCGGATTATCTTTAAAGCGGATGATCATAAAGCTAACGCTCATCTCAAAACTCCTATGACTATGGCATCTGAAGAGCATGTGGTTGTGCTATCAGGGAGGATAAATCGTCAGCGGTCTTGTTGTTCTCTGCATGCAGACTGATTGCATGATTGTGTTGTTTGCAGTGTCCGGCCATCTGTCCTCCGGGTCCTCCTGGACCGCCGGGAATGCCTGGATTCAAGGTACCTGACCTCAACAACACGACATAGAGCAGCTTTAACACCCAACTGACTCGAGCTGAATGAGCAGTTTTGTAGAATTACTTGTAGCTGAATTGAACTTTTTCAAACTGATGAACTTCACACTGTTATTGATCTGAACTGAACCAACACTGAACTCATTTGAGCTGAATAATGACACTATTGTCTTCTGGAGCTGCTTTACAGCAGAATCTGAACTGTGTCCATCGTTGAGTTTCCATAATTCACACAATCTGTATTGTATAAAGCACTATTAACATAAACATGACTTGGCGTCAGCATTGACATGATAAAACATGCTTCTTATTACAAAAGATATCACAAGCTGTGGTTCTGCCTCTGTGTTTTGGTTTAGGGTCATACAGGGCATAAAGGGAGTAAGGGAGAGCTGGGGAAAGACGGAGAGAAGGTGAGATCAGACTGAAACTGCACTTTGTCTGAATGAAGCTGAAGTTGTCTGTAATGTGTTTGTGTGTCTGTCTCTTCCCATCAGGGTGACCAGGGCCCGCCGGGGCCGCCGGGAATCCCAGGGACAGTGGGTTTACAGGTGCGACTGATTACCTCAGCTAGACATGCTGCAGCACCTACAGGCCTGCAAACATTTCTCTTAGAATTTACTTGTGTTTTGGGCAGGGTTGCTCTCTCTCACAAATATGTAATTAATTCCTTTTTAGTTAAAGGAAATCAAGAAATAAAGGATTTAAAGACAATAAAGCAAAACAAACTCAGCGTCTGTGGCCCTGGTCTGAGGACCGGCTGGTACACCTGGTACTTTACTTCTCGTTTCTTTCTTTAGTAAAATGGAGCACTAGGATGACAATCCCCAGTGTTAAACAGTTGTTTAGAAGAACTGAACAGGATAGAATAGAGTGGAATAGAATAGAATTGATCAAAAGTGACACATTCTATTCAAACATGAACACTGTATTGTTGTGGGAAACACAAATATCATGTCCAAATTTTAGTAGCTTGTTTTTTCTCTTCTTCTTCCATTGATGTTTTGTGTGTAATGGTGTGTTAAAGGGCTCTCGAGGGCTGAGAGGACTGCAGGGGCCGGTGGGAGCAGTAGGAGACAGAGTAAGACCTCAAGAACATCACACCACACACATCTTACTGAAATAGATGCAAGCATATGTCGAGTGCAGACAGCTGTGCCCTTCATGGTTTGCATCTACTCTGTATCTGCAGGGATTGCCGGGCTTCAGAGGAAAACCTGGAATTGCTGGCAGCATTGGAAAAACTGTGAGTGTTTCATCACTCCTTTGCATATTAAAGTTTGCACGTGTTTTTTCTTTAATGTGTGTTTCTGTTAATAAATAATAAAATCATAAAACGTTTGATATGTGTATCTTCTGAATAGGGTGATGCTGGTGAGAAAGGACCGCAAGGTTTCAAAGGGCCCAAAGGAGAGATAGTAAGCACATTACTTGCTAGATACAGTTTCTTGTAAGCCCTTCATACTTATTTCAGTGTAACATCAGCGTGATTGTGATATTGTGGATGTCATCCTCTGAATAGGGGAAAATAGGCCCCAAGGGACTCCCTGGAGGTGCAGGACCTAAAGGAGAACCGGTGAGGAACTGTGTGATTTGCTGACTCTTATGATGAGCGTTAGATTAGCCCATAATAATGCCTTGTGTGGAACCGCAGGGCATCCCGGGCAGGGACGGGAAGGATGGCACTCAAGGATTAGACGGTGAAAAGGTAATCAGCCGCTTGTTTTGAGACACGTCTAGGCCTTATTTCTCGAGATGCTGATGCTGTGTGCTTGTGTTGACAGGGAGATGCTGGGAGAACTGGCGTCTCTGGTGAGAAAGGCCCTAACGGTCTGCCTGTACGTATTGCCGTTAATTACACTGTTCAGAGGATGAGCACATTAAATATTAATAAGAAGTGGTTTGATAATGTGATTTTTGCCTTTCATGTCTGCTTGTTTTTTATCTGCAAAGTTTTCATTCAGGAAATCATCTGGTTGTTCTGTTTAATAATCATTTTTGAGTGCTTTATTACTTTTTAGTAGCTTTGTTTGCTGGGTTTTGTATCATTGTGCAACTCACAACAAGTGTAAATCTCTCTGTGTGTAATTCAGGGTTTACCAGGAAAAGCTGGTGCCAAAGGTGCCAAAGGAGGAGTTGTAAGTATATCGATCTATTTGCAACTTACATGAGAGCAGGGCCATTTAGGGCTGTATTACGAGTGAAATAGATTCAGATAAGAGAGACATACAAAATGTCATCACATTTGTCATCATGATTCCATAATAATTTTTTTAGATGTGTAAAGTGTACGTTTTTGAGATTAGGCATCCTCTATGAGATTGTATAAACTCAGTGTGGTCACTGTTCACACAGAATGAATTTTCACATTGTTTCTCTATGCACACTTGCACTAGATGAATGTGTGAGTTAAAAGAAGCAAGTTTTTTTTTTTTTCATTCCACTACTCTGCATCTCTCTTTTAAATCCAAAAATGTGTTTTTATGTGAAATATGGAATTTATGTGGAATTAAAAAAACCGTCCTGATTAATTGGTCTCTGTGTAAATATTTTTAAGCATAAATTTAAACATATTTTAGGATGTATATTATCAGTGCTGAATGAACTTTATTTAAAAAAATGAAACATGCGAATCTTAGCTCACGCTAAATGTAACTTATTTACATATTAAGATGTTACTTGTCATTGGCATTAGCACAGTCTTTGCTAACAGAGTCAGTGTAGTGTTTTTCTGGTCATGTGCTCTACTCTTCAGCACAATGGTTACCATAAAAACTTCAACATAACAGAAACTCTTTTAAATGTCAAACATAACAGCATTAAACACTAACAGGACTTTGCCTTCACTAAAAAACACATCAAATAACACTTAATTTCAACATTTACTCTCCTTATCCAGCCATATACAAAGCATGATGGGAACTAGAAATCCACTACCCAATTTCCAAAGTTCCCATTTTACAAGAGTTACTACTTCTTTTTAAAGAACTTAAATTAACAGAAATTTGAGTTTAAATTCTGCACAAACATAAGTTAATGTAATGGTCAACTGAACTCTAAATTATGTTTGAAACTTAAAAGGTTTAATTAAATTATTAACCATGCATTTATTTAAGTTGTGGTATCAGGTCCCCTGAATCATTTTTAGAGTGTGTTGTTAAGATACTTCTTGGAGTCAAGTCTGCATCCAAATATATTCTTTGCACTTAGACCATGATTAGAAAGTGATACCATCCACTGTTTCTTAGCTTAAATTCGTATAATTAAGTTCAGATAACTCCTGAACAATGCTTTCATGTCATCTGAGTAGCTTAACTTCATTCATCTAAACGTGTGCATCCAATGGAAAGCCAAGTTTAAACTCATTATGTTTACTTCAGCACTTGGCCAGTCTTCTTTTTGCGCACAGCAGAGCTCTAAAAGACCTCCGGTGCTTCTCCATTCTTTATTACTACATCCTCGTTTCCACTCCTTGAGTTCTAGCTCCTTGTGTTTCTAGCTCCTTGAGTTCTAGCTCCTTGAGTTCTAGCCCTTCGTGTTCTAGTCCCTTGTGTTCTAGCTCCTTGAGTTCTAGCTCCTTGTGTTCTACTTGAGTTCTACAATGCTTTCATGTCATCTGAGTAGCTTAACTTCATTCATCTAAACGTGTGCATCCAATGGAAAGCCAAGTTTAAACTCATTATGTTTACTTCAGCACTTGGCCAGTCTTCTTTTTGCGCACAGCAGAGCTCTAAAAGACCTCCGGTGCTTCTCCATTCTTTATTACTACATCCTCGTTTCCACTCCTTGAGTTCTAGCTCCTTGTGTTTCTAGCTCCTTGAGTTCTAGCTCCTTGTGTTCTAGCTCCTTGAGTTCTAGCTCCTTGTGTTCTAGCTCCTTGAGTTCTAGCCCTTTGTGTTCTAGTCCCTTGTGTTCTAGCTCCTTGAGTTCTAGCTCCTTGAAATCTAGCTCCTTGTGTTCTAGCTCCTTGAGTTCTAGCTCCTTGTGTTCTAGCTCCTTGTGTTTCTAGCTCCTTGAGTTCTAGCTCCTTGAGTTCTAGCCCTTCGTGTTCTAGTCCCTTGTGTTCTAGCTCCTTGAGTTCTAGCTCCTTGTGTTCTAGCTCCTTGA